CTAGAAATAATAATAATAATAATAATAATAATAATAATAATAATAATAATAATAATAATAATAATAATAATAATAATATACCCCGCCCCTCTGTCAAACAATCGGGGTGGCTTACAACAATTAAAATTCCATACAATAACACCTATCTCAAAAATACACTAAACTTCTGGCACACACACACCCCTTAAAAAAGTATTAAACCAGATATCCATTAAAACAACTTAAAACATCAGAAGTAAAATAAACAGACTAGAACAAATAATAAGCAAGGGCAGAGACAAGAGACAATGGGAAAGGTAGAAATTAAAAGAAAAGAAAAAATGTAAGTCATGCCCTATACAGTTATCACCTATGTCTGCTGAATAGCTTTTCGTAGTTTTCCTTGAAGACTGCATAGCAGGATCTACATATATCCATATTCATGTATACATTTGAGATAAAAGAAAATACTTCTTTTGTGGCTTAATACAAAGAATTGTAAAATTGGCCAAGATCTTTAGGTACAGGCAACCCACACGTGAGTTCTGGAATACTTTGATGTCTCTCATCCTAGTAAAATGTATCCAGCATGTTAAAAGGTAGCCCTCTGTTTTTCAAAGGAATACAAAATCATTTGTGAAGTAATCCACGTTTGAAGGTTTATGTCCAAAGGATGGCGGCACAGGCATATAAATGAATTTAAACTCCTTTCCAAAGCAAGTGTGTCTTTGCCTGCTGATGAATACACTGGAGAGTTTCACACCATGAATGGTATTTTTGGGGTGGGGCAGGAACTACTGAGGAAACGTTTCAGTGCTTATGAGAAGGAATCTCATATTGCTTTTGACCCTGGCCACAGAATTTAGTATTAGCTGGTTCCACTTTATGACTTTTCATTGTGAATTGTGGACCTGTTAAGCATGTAAGAGACCAATGGCATGGAATTAACCCAGATGGTCTAGTGAATTCTGTATATTCCAGTTATGTATATAGGATAGTAATATCTTGGGCTAGTTATATCTTCCATGTAGACAAATATCTTCATTTGCTAAAACTTTGGTCATTCTTCAGGTTTAGGGCTGCTTTCAGTATATATATCATTAATTCCTAACTGGATAGCATGTCCTTCTAAGAGTAGCTTCCCATATACAACATACATGCATGCGGAGAAACAGCCTTAGGGATAGTCATCTGTTCTGTGCAAAACATGCACGCATATAGTAAAGTGGTCTCTTTTGAGTAAATACTAAAGTTTCAAGCATTACAGCTCCTCCCATGCCTCCCACCTCCCAACATAAATAATCTTATCAGTTCTGATTGCTTTGGCTTTCCCCACAGCATTGTACAGGAGGAGCAACAACTGTCATTTACTCACTCTGTTTTTCAATCTAGGAAGTCTCTGGATCCATTGAAATATGATCCTGGTCACACTGGCATTCAAACTATTCTTATCGCCTTGTCAAAAGAATGCCTCCCAACAAAATACATAGTATTAGTAATTGGCCTATCAATATGTGCTGTACAGATTGAAGGTAGGGAAAGACAAGTGCCTGGCCAGGAGTGCTAAAACAGCCCAGTGTTGTCTAGCAGTACAATAATGTGTCCTGGTGACATATTTGAAATGATGGCAGGTTATCTTGATAAAAGTGCCAATATATCTGTGTTGTCAACAGATTGCCAGCGGCCATCACAGAAAGGAAGAAATTGTGTGCTCCAAAGAAGAGAGAAACAGATGAAACTTTTTCTGGTTAAAGGGGGAAAAGAAGGGAGAGATTAGATAAGATGGGGAAAATACAACTTGATGGTGTGTTGTCCAGTGTGTGGAAGCTGTGCATGCAGGTGGGTGAGGATGAATTGCCCATTAGACTTAAATGAGCCCTTTTCTCCTTGGCGAGCCACACCTGTGAGGGCTGGTGCATTGTGATGTGTCCTGAAATTAAACAATTACAGGACACATCACAATTATTACAGTTGAGAGGTCTGTTAGCATGACTGCGTGCCCCATTTGCTAGAGATCTTTAGTGCAAAGAACACAGCTTGTACATAGGAAAGTGCCAGGTCGGACCATTAGTTCATCATTAGTTCATTAGTTCAAAAAAAATTATTATCTAGCTCAATATTAGCAACTCAGACTGTCTTAAGTCCCATTTTGGGAGAAAGGCAGGATATCAATCAATCAGATATATTAAAATAAAATGCTCCAGGCCCTGTCCAAGACATTTGGCTTCCTGAGATGAATAAGATAATGCTCTCTCCCATTTCTTATATATACCCCACTGAATTGGCAGGGGAAAAAAAATCATTGGAAAACAGACATCATCCTCCCCAACACAAGTGGAGAGTACAGGGCAGGGTGCATATCACCTTCACCTGCAATCCCTGTGGTAGCCTGTCATCTCCTGTTGGCTGAGGCAGCTGCTTCGCTTTAATGGTAGAACCAATTTACTGTTCACTGACTAGCAATGCTCAATCTCTTTCTCAGACTTAGCATGAGAAACCAGGGACTGAACCTGGCATCTTACTCAGGCAAATACAGTATGCTATGCTATGGACTCTCATCTGAGCTCATTTGTTGTTTTATTGTCTATATTGCTTTTGTTATGTGGTTGGTTTTATTATATTTCTGTTTATCATGAACTGCCTGGGGACCCCTGATAAGTTAGCTTAGGGCCTTTGCAGACTGCCAGAAATAGTGCAAATTGAGTCCACTTTAAGGGTTAGGGTTAGTGCTAGAGAATCATGAAAATTGTATTTTTTTTTCTGAGACTGAGCTTTCGCTGTCAGAGAGCTCTGGTGCCACAATAAAATACAGTTCCCATGATTCCCTAACCCTAACCCTTAAAGTAGACTCAATTTGCACTATTTCTAGCAGTTTGCAAAGGCCCATAGAAATAGTTACTCTGGAAATCCCCTTAGTTTGTTTAAAACAATTACTAATACTATATTTGTGTGCAGGTCAAATGTGATTAAATTTCAGTCTATCAGTTATTTCAGTCTATCAGTGATTAAATTTCAGTCTATCAGTTTGAGCCGCCGAAAGTGCGCCTGCCGCTGTTAGGGCGCACTTTCGGCAGAATCTAAAAGGATCGCCATTTTGGCGGTCCTTTTAGATTCGTCGGGGATGCGCCGCCGTCTGGAGGCTGAACTCCGGCGGCGGTCCGGACCAGGGCGTCTCCGACGCCCTCGTCTGCATCCCCCCTTAGATAGAAACATTTTACAGTGGTCCCTCCACATTCACTGGGGTTAGGGGAGAAGGACCCCCACGAATGTGAGAAAACTGCATATTAAAAAAACAAACACTATTCTTTTTACCTAATTGAACACCTCTTTAGAAATCCTCAGGTCTTCCAGTGCAACTCTATGGTCAACATCTGCCAGAAGTTAATCATAGAATCATGCTGGAGAATCTACAAATGTCTAGTGAAGTATTTTCTCTAGGAACTTCTAGGTTCTCAAACACAACTTTCTGGTCAACATGTGGCCGATTTGTTCTGGAGGACCTGGAGATTCCTAGAGAGAACATATTAATCAAAACCGCAAATAATCAAAGCTGCAAAAGTCAAAGCTGCAAATGTGGAGGGCCAACTGTAGGTATCTGTGGAACAAAATGATATATTATGCACAAGTGTTTATTTTTATAAGTGACTTTTTCAAAGGAAAAACCATCCTTAAGAGAGGGTTAAATACTTGATGCAGTGGCTCAAGTGGTTAAG